GGAAAACTAAACTATTTAAAAGAAAACTAAGTAAACTAAGGAAATTAAACTAAAGAATTTTCTAAATTAAAGAAACTATGAATGAGAAGGAACCAGGGTTTGGATTTTATTTAATTCTGAATTATGCAACTGTATTATTAATTTAATTCAAGTTCAAATAATAGTGTTATTGCATGAGATGGCGGATTTCCCTAAATTAATTAACCAGCTTTCTCAAGTCAAGCTAATTCTTCATTTGTTTGCTAAATTAATCATATCTCTATGTAATTTTAAACAGACTAATAAGCATTAAATTCTATGGAAACCTCTAGCTTAAGAAGGGGGAGCTACTAACTCTCTTCTCTTCCTCCACTACCACATGTGAGCTAATTATCTCTCGATCTCATAGTCTAACACACGGTTTATATTATTATTGATCTAATTTACACAATTCTTTCTTAAGTTCATGCATAAATCACTAAATAAATTGAAAGGTGATCAGGCTCTCAATGCATTAATCTCAATGCATTAAACTCAATAATATAAACTCAATAATATAAACTCATCATGAAAATAACCAATAAATCTTAAATTAAACTAACAAAAATAGTCACATATTTCAAAAATTAAAATCCATCCACCCCTAGTTCAAAGAAATTTAGCTATGCATGATTATGTTGTCAACAGCAGCCATAATTCGGTAATTCCAGCAGACAATCATGATAAAAAATTCAAATTAAGAATCAACAACACCCGTCCAATGAAGAACAAGCCAAACTTGTGCTGCTGTCCCTCCCTAATAAAGCTGGTTGAGAAGAATAAAGGCTGTCGGCGGCGTTGGTTCTTTCACGAACAGATCTGGGTGGGTGTTCTCCCTTCTGCTGGTGAACAGATTTTCGGGGCTTCTTCTCCTTGTTCAGATGCGAACTGATTGGGTATTGCGTGTTGGTGTCCTCTTCTTCTGCTGGTGAACAACAGATGCGGATGACTAGGATTTTGGGTGGCTGGGTGCTCTTAACCTCTTGTGCAGAACAATTTCATGCGTCTCTGGGGCTGCTCTCCTTTCTACCGAGTAGCATCTATATATATATCAAGAAATTAGAAACCCTTATTTCTTTTAACCCTAGCAGACATGGGTTATGGGCTTTATTTTGGGTCTGAACTGCAGTTGGCTCACACTTAGAAAACATAGCCCAAGTCTCTTTATTTCTGCACTTTGTCTATTGTCAAAACCGTCCACTTCAACTTAAATTCTGTATTGATACAAAAGGAATTGGGTTGAGCTCATAAAACATCAATTGTAGCTCTACTTCTTAGCTTTCCAACGCCTAAAGAATCAACTCAATCAAATATCTAGAGAAAAAGATATGGTTAAATTACTGCAGTATATGCAAATTGTCACTTATTGTAAAATTAATTCCTATCTTAATTTCCACCTACAAATAATGAATTTAATATAAACAAAGGTGAAATTAAGTTACAAAGGACCCATAAAATTTAATTCTAGGCTCAAAAAGAGTAGATAAATGCATATTAAAATTAAACTCATCAATGATGCTCTTTAAGAACATAAGGAATAAAGTCGCAAAGTGGAAGAGGCAGTTTATTTTCGTTTGTGACACGCGAATGGAGAGGATGAATAACGAGCTCATTGCTCGCATCTCTGAATGGCGCGCTCCAAATACATATATGAACTATCCCCAATTGACGCCTTATGATGTGGATCTGAAGAATCAACTGGTGGATTATGTGAAGGCGAAGGGATTAGTTGATTTAGAGGCCCTAGTTACCCTTGAGCAGCTTGCGGTGTTTTGGTTTGTTGATGTGGCAAACCTATATACCAGAGGTATATTTCTATTGTAAATTATGATTATTAGCCGATTTGAGTCTTATTGCATTCGTTTATGCAAGAGAAATGAGTAGTGTATTGGAGAGGCAACGTGAACAAGCTCAGCGCTCATGAGCTCGTTGAGGGGAGGGCAGCTTGCAGGGGTCAACTTGCTTTGACGAATGGCCACCTATGGCACCATCTCGTAACTCATTGCATCAGAAACGAGGATCGAGCTCGGCATCCAGGTCTTATACCGAGCAAAGAGTTGAAACTCTGCCTTCAAATTCCCAAAGGCATGCTCAAGATGATTCAGATGCTGAGGATGACGTGCCACTTATCAGGTGAAGGATGGGCATTATGGATCTCCCCATTGAACCTTCTGTGGTACGTTTGTATAACGTGCCACCAACCCCCACACGTGATGCTGCCGAGGTTGGCTTGACAGTAACTACGATGTCTAGCCCCAGGATTGCTTACCGTGAGGGTTTCAACTACACAAAAACGAACTGCCAGGTCGCCATGCTGCAAGGTATGTAGAACTTTGTTCCCCCGATGGACTGGCAGCATGCAAAGGGTTACATACAGCAATATGGGGGTCATACTGCTATGCTAAAGTTAATGGATGTAAGTATATTCATCAAGTGGTGCTATCATATTTTCTCAATTTTATGTAAGAAGCTAACAATAGAAATTATATGACAAGCATTCAGCTACACAGTTGCACTTTTTGCATGCGAGCAAGGGGCATGTGGGCAAACTTGCGAGCTCAATGAAAATTGCAAACAGTTGACTTCTAAGAAGGCAAGCTTGGAAGATGAGGTCAACCGCTTGTAAAGCTCTGAGATGGCCAACAAAGTTGTGTCAGTTGAGAGCTGAGCTGACGAGTTGGCCAACAAGGTAAATGAGCTGAAAGAGGAGTTGGAGAAGGCTTAAGTGGAGAGGGAGAGCGGGATCCAGGCAACGAAGGATAAGGCCGACCGTGTAAAGGAACGTGCCAAGAAAGTGGAAGTTGAGAGGGACAATGCTCGGAATGAGCTAAACTCCCTCAAGCAACAGGCGGCTGCAGCCGACCAAAACCTCGCCCAAGCTAAGGATGCCTTGAATAGGACAAAGATGTGCCATCAACGTTCTGTGAGCATTGCACTAGCTCAAGGGGCAAAGTGGTTGGTCAACTCAGACATGTTCCAAGATGCAGTGGTCGTTGCGTCCACAAATACCACGATAGAAATCTACAATGATATCCGTGGAAAGGTATTGCGGCACCGACTTGACTTCCACATCGGCGAGCTGACGTTTTTTTAAAGAAGAAGAGATAGATGAGCAAGGCAAAAGTCTCGCCCCTCTTGCTAATATGACGATGCTGCTGAAGTGGGAGTTGAATGAAGATGGAGTGCCCGTCTGGCCTCTGTCAGTTTTGGAAGAAGAGGAGGACCTTGAGGGGTTACCAAGATTCAATTCATGGGTGGCTAGGGTACTCGAGGTGGAAGCTGAACCCTCTAGTACTCCACCCACTTCTCAGCCCGTCACCACTCTTACTTGCTTTTCTCCAGCTTGTGCTGATGCATCCATCCCTGTAGATTTGATAGATGGCTAGGTGGTTATGCCTTTTATTTTCTTTTGTATTTTTTGTTTTGGTCAGTTGACCTTTTTGAGCATTTTCTATGTCATCTCCTGTATTGAAAAGTATACTTTAAGAGAAATACAACTGGGGAGATATTTTTTTGGAAAACTTTTGTGTTCTTTGCATTTCAATTACACATTTTACACTTGCTCATCGTGCTAAGTAATAATACAAATTAATTGTAATACTTTCTAGGATTATGTATATTCCATGTAAGCGGTAATTGACGACCTTGTGAATCTACCAACAAGTAAGACCCAGGTCGGTTAATATAAATAACCATGTAAGGACCCTCCCAGTTGGAGGCAAGCTTGCCCATGTGTGAATAGGCATTGGTGAGCTTGGCCTTGTGCAAAACCAAGTTGCCGACCTAAAATTGATGAGCACGCACCTGTTTATTGTAAAATATGGCAACACGACCTTGATATGTCATGTTCTTCATGCGAGATATCTCCCTAACCTCCTCCACTAGGTCTAGGTTTTCTCTTAGGAGTTGCTCGTTATTAGAATCATTAAGCCAAGCAGGCCTGTTAGGCAACAAGTTGATTTCCACAAGGATTACGGTTTCAGCTCCGTAGGCAAGAGAGAATGGGGTCTCTCCAGTGGTTAGGCTGGGTGTAGTACGGCACGACCAAAGCACTTTGTTGAGCTCGTCAACCCAATTAGAGTGTGCGGCCAGGACACGTGTCTTAAGGCCACACAAGACGATTTTATTGGCTAACTCTGCTTGTCCATTTGATTGCGGAGTGTAAACATATGTAAAAGCCAACTCAATGTTATAATCATCACAAAACGACCTGAGGGCTGTTGCTCAAAATTGGGGACCATTATCAGCGATGATTCGCTTAGGAATACCGAATTTACATACAAATGCATTGGCTAAGGCACAAATATGTGTGCATGTAATGCATATGTAGTTTGAGCTATTGAAGAGTACCCACACAATATGGAATTGAATAGGAACTCTTCAGTTGTTATGGACAATGGTTTGGCTTCTATCCATTTGGTGAAGTAATTCATGGCAACAATGAGATGTGTGCAGCCTCTTTTGCCTTTAATAAAGGGACTGAGCAAATCAATTCCCCATTAAGTGAAGGGCTAGGGTGATGTGAGAGAAGATAGCATTTCTCTTGTATCAAAGGAGATATTCATGTTTAGCTTAAAGATAAACGCGAAGTTTGTGTGAGTTTCAAAATGAGCTCAGGTACTTAGCATGTGAATGTCGTCAGCGTTGAACTGGTAGATTGGACATTTTTTGACATAGCTTTGGGCATCGTCAACCATAGTAGGCCAGTAATATCCATGCCTTAGGAGTTTTTGAGCTAAGGTTTTCCTCCCAATGTGTGTGCCACACACTTCATGAACTTCTCTCACAGCATACTTAGCTTCATAAAGGGTTAGGCAGCGTAGTAAGGGCATTGACGCTACTCATTTATACAACTGCTCGTCAATTAGGGTGAAATGAGATACCCTACGCCTTATTAATCGAGCATCAGATGGGTTCTTAGGCAACTCTCCATCTCATAAATAATTAATGAGGGGTGTTGTCCAGCTTGGTGATGAAGGATCTGTGCTTAAGACTTGGCATTTAGTAGCAGGGTCGGCATAGCTCGGTGCATCAAGTATCTCAACAAAAGTTGTCCTTTGGGGATTGATATCTTGTGACGACGCTAGCTTCGATAATTCATCAACCTGCTTATTGTCTGCCCTTGGTATCTTATTAATCTGAAACGAGACAAAAACCTAATTTCAACTTGTTGACTACGAAGCATAACGACAGCCGTCTAGACCTATCAGCACTGTTCTTGCCTTCGATCCCTTGGCACTTTCAGCCCCGTCTACGTACAACGCCCATACAGGGTGTAGGGTTGTAATTCCCTCAACAGCCACTAAGTGGCATTCCACTAGGAAATCTGCTAAGAGTTCACCCTTTATCGCTGTGCGTGGTTCAAATTTGAGGTCGTACTCACTTAGTGTGATTGCCCATTGTTGACGACCACTTAAAACATTAAGTGTGAAACATATAAGAAAAGGAGTCACCACTCATCCAAGTTATAAGGTGGGACGCGTCACCTAAAATAAATCTGCGTAGAAATCGAGGTTCGGAGGTTCAGTTAGGAGTGAGGAAGGGCATACACGCACCTTACAATCTTTCGCTTAAACATGGTTGCATACTTTAAAATTGGGGTTTTGATTCAACTTATTCATTATATTTGTATTTAGATCTAAATAAGAAAGCTTGAAAAAGAGATAAACTAAATTGCAACATTTTTAAATTTTTGGATTGAAATGGATGAAATCGAAGACATACATGCACTAGAAGCACAACTAAAATTTAAAGGGACTAATTTGATTAAATTCGAAACATGAAGGACTGATTTGAAAGAGTTGAGACCCCGTGGACTAAATTGCCTAATCATAAAATTTTGGGTAAACTTGAAATAAAAGAGATAATTTTGACTTTAACCAAGATTAAAGGAAATTAAGGATTTAAATTAATTAACTATAATGATTAACTTAATTAAATGATTGATTTCACATTAATTAAAATTAATTAATCACATTATTAATTTTTAATCAAGATAATTAAGTAATTATCTTAAATTAAGATCAATAAACATGATTAATTTACTTTCATTAAAGTTAATTAATTTTATTAATCATAAATTAAATTAATTATCTTAATTAATTAATCATTTTATTTATATCATTTTTTTTACTTTATCATTTTTTT